AAAGTCCAATGGGACGAAATGAGTAGTGTTTCAGAAGCAAATTCGTTTCTAAATAAGGACTTAAGGAGTATATATGAGCCTGTTTGTTACTGCGCTTTTTATTCTGTATTATGTTGCACTTTTATACTCTGACTATATGCACTTTTTGCCTATTCTGATAGGCATTAGTCCCAATATTTTCATTAAATATTCTTCATAATTAACAAAATCTCACCGCGTTGTCAACTTAAAATTTGATCCTTTCCACCTATCTTTTACATTAATGGCAAAGATTAATTTTGTATATATATACACAAAAGATCACACCATCACAACTTGTCTATTTGAGTTGCCTGCGCGGGTGATTTTTTTGTAAGTTTGATGAGCATATTTTTCATGAAGTGTATAATTCACAAAACTTGACACAAAGTTCAATTCAGAAGTGAATTAAATAAATTATTGAAAAACACTGCGTTTTATAAGTATAAAATTTGTGATTCCAACTAATTTCTTTTTCGTATGTACAAAATTCAACCATATATTTTTTACTTTATTATAGTCAAATTTAATACTACTTTCGTCCTGGTGGACTTTGTCAAGTGTAATATAGGTAAGAAATAAGAAAAGTAAAAATTGTGTGGTTAAGAAATGTGCAGAACCACAAATTAATTACGGAGTATTTAAATAGGAGTATTAAAGTGGCACAGTTTTTTAGGATAATAAAAGGAACAAAATTGGCACAAAAAGTCTTGGTGTACACCCTGGGTTACACCCTGGGGTACACCATATATAAGGTCTAATTATTTACAGCTTCTTTTACCCCTTTCACTCGCACAGCCCTCCCCTCCCCTCCCCAAAGTTGCGCACGTTTCTTTCTCTTCCCATCCTTCACCCTTGTTCATTCTTTCTTCCCGCCCTTGTCTCTGTTTTTTTTTATTTTTTTGTTGCGAATATCATGGATGATTTTCTAGCATATGTGATGGTGGATGAACAGGGGACTGGAAACGATGGAGCATTGGACGATTCCTGCCTGCGACGGACGACGGAGGTCGGAAATGGAAGAAACGAAGAAGCTCTAAGCGTCGGAAATGGTGGACCTGTGAACGAACAAGACGGAGCTGCGATGGAGGACAGAAATGGTGGATTTGTGAACGAAGAAGATGGAGCTCCGGACAAAGTTGGGGATGAAGACTTAGGTGCGACGGGTGGTAGAGCTGCGACACAAGGTGGCAACGAAGTTCTGATCTTTGAGGGTCTGGATGATGAAAACTTTGACGAGGAAGGAAGTAGCAGGGGGAAGACAAACGCAGATGGCGGAGGTATTTTATTTGACACACACAGACAGCTTACATACACAGTGTCGGTGTGTACCGACAACTAATGTATATATGGTTAATGTATACCTACAAATATGAATTAATGTATGTGTGAATGTTGTTAATGTATACCTACAAAGATGTATTTGATGTATGAATGTTGTTAATGTGTACCTATAAAAATTGATTTTATCAATGAATGTTGTTAATGTATACCTACAAATATGAATTAATGTATGTGTGAATGTTGTTAATGTATACCTACAAAGATGTATTTGATGTATGAATGTTGTTAATGTATACCTATAAAAATTGATTTTATGAATGAATGTTGTTAATATGTACCCTATAATTTAATGTATACCTACAAAGATGAGTGTTGTATCTATGTACAATGAGTTAATGTATGTATGAATGTTGTTAATGTATACTTACAAACAAGTCTTTGATGTATGAATTTTGTTAATGTATACCTATGAAAAATGATCTATGAATATTGTTAATATATACCCTACTACAATAATGTATACCTGCAAAGATGATTGTTGTATCTATGAAGGAGTTAATGTAAAATAATTATTTGATTATGTGAACAGATGGAGATAACATTGCTGATGAATGTGAACAAATTCCAAAGATAGGCATGGAGTTTCCTACAAAAGATGCAGTTTATGATTTCTACAAAAAGTATGCCAAAAGTGTTGGCTTTCCTGTTAGACACCGCACTTCAAAGAAGGATAAAGAAGGGGACTTGATCGCGTTTGTAGTAGAGTGCTCACGTGCAGGCAACAGAGGTAGTAGGTCGAAAAACTGTTTGAAACCTCAACCTTCCATGCAAAATGGTTGCTTAGCGAGAATAAGAGCAAAGACAGATTATGCCGGGTCATGGGTAATATCACAAGTTTTTTTGAACCATAATCATCCTATGAGTCCCACGAAGTCTAGATTATTCCGTTGTAATAGGAAGTTGACAATGAAAATTAGGCACCAAATCGATGTAAATGACGTTGCAGGAATACGTCTTTGTAAAACTTTCAAATCCGCAGTTGTAGAAGCCGGAGGATATGATCAACTTCCTTTCATTGAAAAGGACTGCAGGAACTACATAGAAAAAGTTCGACAACTTAGATTAGGAGATGGGGATGCAATGGCCATCCAAGGTTTTTTTACAAAAATGCAAGCTCAATGTCCAGGTTTTTTCTTCACAATTGACTTGGATGAAGATTCACGTTTGCGTAATGTTTTTTGGGCGGACAATAGGTGTCGACATGCATACAAGGATTTTGGAGACGTGATTACATTTGATACGACATATCTCACCAACCGCTATGACATGCCTTTTGCTCCGTTTGTTGGTGTTAACCATCATGGACAATCGATGTTATTAGGTTGTGGAATCATTTCTAGTGAGGATACATCAACATTCGTATGGTTGTTCAAAACATGGCTTGAGTGTATGGATGGTTATGCTCCAATGGGGATTATAACTGATCAAGATAGGGCCATGCAAAATGCCATCCAAATCGTTTTCCCAAACACAAGGCACCGATGGTGTCTCTGGCACATAATGAAGAAGTTACCTGAAAAGATGGGTGGACTTGTACATAAAGATGATATCATGACAGCCATACATGATGTCGTTTATGACTCTCAGTACATTACGACCTTTGAGGAAGATTGGAAAGCCATGCTCGAAAGGTACACTCCAATATTCATTAACTAAGTTTCACTTTTTACGTGTCACAGATAGATTATGTAATGCACAGACAAAAAGTATCGGTGTAGGTTATTTCATGCGTAGGACCTTCTGCCACTTAAAGACACCTTACCGACACTTTTTGCATTTCACAGACATAAAGTGTCAGTATACCTTATTTCATGCCTGGGACTTTCTGCCACTTAAAGACACCGTACCGACACTTTGTGAATTTCACAGACAGAAAGTGTCGGTGTACCTTATTTCATGCCTGGGACCTTCTGCCACTTAAAGAGACCGTACCAACACTTTGTGAATTTCACAGACAGAAAGTGTCGGTGTACCTTATTTCATGCCTGGGACCTTCTGCCACTTTAAGACACCGTACCGACACTTTGTGAATTTCACAGACAAAAAGTGTCGGTGTACCTTTGTTCATGCCTGGGACCTTCTGCCACTTTAAGACACCGTACCGACACTTTTTGCATTTCACAGATGGAAAGTGTCGGTGTACCTTTGTTCATGCCTAGGCCCTTCTGCAACAAAAAAAATCTTACCGACACGTTTTGCGTTTCACAGACAGAAAATGGTCAGTGTAGCTTAAATGAATTTGTAAAATTCATTTAAATTTTACAGGTTTGCTCTACAAGACAATGATTGGCTTACAACAATGTACAATGAAAGAGCCCGTTGGGTCCCTTGTTATCTTAAGACAACATTTTGGGCAGGCATGTCTACGACACAACGTAGTGAGAGCATGAATGCGTTTTTTGATGATTACGTTAATTCGAAAACATCTCTTAAACAGTTCGTTGAACAATATGGGCGGGCATTGCGAAGTAAAGTCGAACTAGAATTTCAAGCTGATGCAAAGTCATTTTCTAAAAACATTCCATGCATTAGTATCTACGGCATGGAAAAACAGGTTCAAGAACTTTATACCCTTGACAAATTTAAAGAGTTTCAAACTGAAATGGTTGGCAAGCTTTCTTGTGACCTACATAGTGGAGATGGTCTAACATATCACGTGAGCGAGGACAAACAGTTGCCGAATGGGTTTGACAAGTGCGTCAACTATGTGGTTGAGTTCAACCGTGAAAGTGGTCATGGCGTGTGTAGTTGCCATTTGTTTGAATTTAGGGGTATCATGTGTCGTCATTTGGTGGTTGTGCTCCTTCGAAATGGCATCAAAAATATGTTGCCCGACTATTATATAATGACAAGGTGGAGAAGAGACGTCAAGAGACAGTACACACGCGTTAAAATCAATTACGACGGTTGGGTGACAACGGTGGAACAAGCTAGATTTCACCAATTATGCAACAATTTTGAAAAACTAGCCAACACCATTGTTGATGATGAGGACAAGTATAACATTGTCATGCAATGGATAGAGGACCAAATAAGTGCAAATACAAGCTCCACCTCTAAATCTTCTATTTCTGGTGTGATGACTGAACTACCTGACACTGTCCCACGGGTAGAGGCTGCCCTCACGCGAACCATTCTTGACCCAAAAACTTCCAAGAGAAAGGGTGCACCACGAAAAAACCGCCTTAAGGGACCACTTGAAAAGAGAAAGAAAACCAAAACTGTAAGTTATTTTTATACTTATATATGAATATGGATTGTCGTTTCATGTGCACTAACAAATATTATTCCAATTATTAGGTACGGTCTACCAAACAAAATGGCCAAGCTTCGTCGGTTGTTGAGGCTGGAAATGAGGTCGGAAGTTCAAGTGTTCAATATTTAGATTTAGATTTGAATATGACTTTGGGTGTGTTGTAATTGCACGTGTAGTGTGCATGTTTTTTGCATGGATATTGTGAATATGACATTGATCGTGTTGTAAATGCACATATAGTGTGTATGTATTTTGCACACCTTTTTGTTTAGGAGCCTATGTTATGCCACAAACAAGTGTTTTCCACGATTCATATGGTTCTTCTTGTAATACGCATTCTAATTACGCATTCTTATCCAAAACATGAAAATGTTGACAAAATATGGAAGCATTATAGTTTGGCATTCCAGTGTACAACCTTGTACAAAAAAGCGCAACACTATTGTACAAAACATAATGTCAAATACACTAATAATGTCATTTAAACGGTGTCAAACATCAGTCTTCTTTAGACGCCATAGGCGCACCGCAAACTGGCTTCTCATGTCCAACATGTTGTCGTAGTCACATCCGGGTGTCAAAGGATACTCCAATGCCAAATGCTCCGCAAATGCCATCATCATCACTCCGCACTCCGAACTCCTGAAAAAGCAAACAACAACATGTATTACAAACACTTGCATACATTTTGACTCTATGTTGCATAGCCAATAACATGGGTGCAAAAGTAGATACCCTCGTTGTTGCGGTACATCAGGAACAACCTGGGCAGGCCATGGTTTGAAATCATCTGAAACTGCAGCAGATTCGGGGCATTTTATCACATTAAGTAAGTAAGGTAGTCTGATGCATAGATGATGGGCAGTTGATTTAGATTTCGCACTCCGCAAAGAGTCATACACTCTAACCACCTTCGCTTTAAGGTCAACTTCCGTCAAGATCCAATGTAGGCCATCCACATTCAATGGAATTAAAACCTATTGACAATGGTACGTAAGAAATGTATGAATACAGAAACCGTTGGTGCACACAGACAGTTAACAAATGTTTGAATATAAAAACTGACGGTGCACACAGTCACTTAACAAATGTTTGAATACAAACACTTTTATTTCATACAATTACCTTTTCAAAACTTGACCAATTAACTCGCGGAAGTAACCTGTCTTCTGCCCAGTGCTTAGGTACATTAATGTCCTTATTCAGAATTGTATACTACATTAAAACAGTACATTAGTGAATGAAAGGAAATGTTGGATTGGTATTAACACGTTACACTAGTTCATCATATTGAATAAGTAAAATACCGTAAAGTATGGACCAATGAGGCCAATTTTTTTGTTCACCATAGACTTCTGTATGAGTGAGCAAAGTGCGTCTATGTGCTGAAATAATTAAGTAAAAAACTTACTCTTCAAAGAATTCAACTTACATGGATAATTAAGTTAAAAAGTTACTTACTTCACTCGACAACCACTCCTCCGGTTCGATCAGCTCTCGGACAAACTTGCGGCTCACTTTATTATAGCCCGTAATAGCAAGTACAACCACGGTTGGTTCTAGGTTGTCATCCTCTTCAACCCACTTCTTCAACTCTAGCCATTCATCATCGCGTATGTCTACAAATGTTGGGCTTCGGTTCTTGTTTTGTACTTTGGCCCTCTTTCTTGTAGGATCGGTGAATGGGCTACAATGGTACTTAGAGCACTTTCTTTTTCTTCCTTTCAGCTTTGCTTTGCGGCATTGGTCTTCAAGCACCAAGACATCTATTGCAGCCGACCCACCATCTTCATCAATATCAGCCCAGTCCAAATTTTCAAATGGGGCCTTTGCACTTATTTCATGCAATTTATCGGCACCTAACTACACATTCATAAAATAACTACACAATATCACAGAATGCACTTCATTCATACGTTTTGTTTGTGATCGAAATCCTATATTTTCATTTTCAGACCTTCCTTTGAGATATGTACACACATTATTTTTAGACAACCTCATTCATAGTGTATGTGTACAAATATTTAATACTAAATACACACGCTTTACCTCAGAACTGCAGAGCATGAGGTTTGTGGGTGTATGACACTCTTGAGAAAGAGAGTTCACACCAGTATAGGAAGGTACGTGATCAAGTGGGTGGGTTCCTTCGCCAACGGCCTGAAAATTCACACATGTAGTAACACATTGGTACTCACAGACAATACAAACTGAAACATCGGTGCACACTGACAGTAGTAGTAAGTAGTAAATTATACAAGCTCACCTCATCCTCTCCACAAAGGGGGGTCACACAAGTCTGAGAAGCTGCTTGATCGATTGGGGGGTTTCCTTTTGCAACAGGCTGAAACAAAATTTGTACATAAACAACGAAAAAGATTGTAATTTACATGTCTTTAGCAAAAAAAAAAATACACCCCATAAATACACCTCCTAGTTTGTATGATTGAATCATTCTAAATGTATTAATACAAGCCTAGCTAGGATTGAACGCGAATCTGGGACAGACATGCCAAACTTTAGTCCTTTAATTTTTTAGCAATGGATACATGGTTACCTCATCCTCTCCAGATAGAGGGTTCACAGAAGTATGAGATTGTCCTTGATCAAATGAGGGGCTTCCTTCGGGAACAGCCTGAAAATTCACACAAGTATTAGTTACGGTACTCACAGACAATATAAACTGAAGCATCAGTGCACACTGACATTATCAATAAGTAGTAAGGGATACATGGTTACCTCATCCTCTCCAGATAGGGGGTTCAAAGAAGTATGAGAAGGTCCTTCATCAAGTGGGGGGCTTCCTTGGGCAACAACCTGAAATTAAATTCACACAAGCATTAGTTATGGTACGCACGGACAATATAAACTGAAACATCGGTGCACACTGACACTAGTAATGAGTAGCAGCGTATACATGGTTACCTCATTCTCTTTACATAACTAGTAACATATACATGCTTACCTCATCCTCTACAACAATGTGGTTCACACGAGTATGACAACCTCCTTCATGAACTGGGGGCCTTCCTTCAGCAACAACCTGTAAATTCACAAAACTATTACTGCCGGTACACACAGACAATATAAAATGAAGCATCTGTTCGCACTGACATTAGTAAGAAGCAGTAAGTTACACATGTTTACCTCTTCCTCTCCAGATAGGGGGTTCGCAGCAGCGTTTTCATCAGATTTTCCAAAGCGTGCAACTACAAGCGCCTTCATTTCAGCAACATTGTCTTCAACAACTTTCAACCGAGAGTCCAAACTTTCAATACACGTCCTTAGTTTTTTTAATTCTTCCACCACAATCGAATGTCCCAACACAGAATCATCCCCATCTTCGTCAGCAGGCACACTCTCCTAGAACAAAAAATAACAAACTTGAGCATGGGATTACACAGATTTTGTCTCAATGCAGTGATGTGAGTTAGTATAATTACCTCAAAGAATACTTTTTCTTGAAGCTTTGCAGCGTGAAAATAGCGTTCCGCTTTCCAGTTAAGCAATCCACAACCCTCTTCACCAACTTTTGTAGCGGCTAATTTTCCCAAGTCCGGTATGTTCTCGTATGCCCAAACCTATAAAAATGGATAAAGTGGTGATAAAAATTTGTTATTAAATATAGTAAGTAGGCGTGTTTAATTTGGATCATACCTGCAACACATGCGGAAAACCATACATCGTATTCCGCATTTTGTCGTACGTAGGATCGTCTTTCTTGCTGTCCTGGAAAAACTTCGGTTGGCCTACCATAAGCGACTTCATGTGATTCACGGTGGCATTGTATGATTCCAACGCCCAGGGGTACTTCTTGAAACTTTCAAAGTCATCAATCCATTTAAAAAAATCTGGGCTTATTTTGGTCCGTTTGTCTCTAGACAGCAGAACACACTGTGTGTAGTACAAAGATGCAAGCTTAACACCGGGTAGTGGATCACCTTTACTTGGAGCCTTGTACTCTTCCATCCTATTTTTCAACTGCTGATAGGTAATTTCAGTCCGCCCTTTGAAAAACTTCTTAACAATGGAGTTTTTTTTTATCCGTGGACAACTCAGGCCTCTCTCCATTAGATGGTAGTCCGGTTATGCGGACAAAATCAGCGAAAGTAAACTTCAAGAGCTTCCCGCGCACACAAAACCACAACTCATCGGCTGGTTGTTGACGCACTAGGCGTAACAACAGCATGTGGATGATCTGGCCTGAGAATTGCATCTCAGGAGCATCCAGCAAATGCCCCCACGGAGTGTCTTTAAACATGGTCAGCTGCTCCGGTGACAAACGCTCATTCAGGAACTGCGCGGCTTCCGAGTACTTGGAGCATAATGAATAAGAGGCCGGGAAATGTTCACTCACAGCAATTTGCAATTGAAGCGCCCTGCAATTTAACATGTTAAACAACAGTCACAAAGAGAAATATATAACTCAAAAAACCAAGACTCAAATACATTTGCTATTTATTTTTTTATTTTGCCTTAAAATTTAACAGCGAACCGAAAATACAAAACCCACCCCTAGATAAACTAAAGCAAGTTGTGGAGACGACATAGGACCGCAAAGCCATTAGTAAGGGACAAAACATTCAACGGACTGCAAAGCCATTCACAACACACGCGTTAAACTAAGGGATCCCTTCATTAAGTTACTTTAGGGGTTGATGGAAAACATGAAGAGTTCGGAGAGTCTGGGATTGTTGTTATAGTTAGTTTAGTACGGTGTTTAAAAAAATGGAGTCTTGCAAAATCCTGCATAAGATTATGGAGCCAAAAAGTTCTAGAAGATAAAATAAATACTCTCAGATATGCTAAAAACTTGGCACATTCATGGAATACACAAATTGGTGCTTTAGGCATAAGTCATTGAACACGAACAATTACTGAGTACTTTTAATTCAACCATTTGAACCTGACTCAACCCTCTATATAATCATCATATGGACTCTAAGTAGCTTTTTACTTGCTGGTTTGGATTTAATGAATGTTACAAAATATACTGTTTAAGAATTTAGCAAATCCGTCCATTTAAGATAAACAAAAATAACCAAAAAAAATGGCCTTGAAAGGGCTGTTAATGGTTAGATGTTATCAATGGTAGCTATATTAAGTTAAACCTACTTATGGAACAAATATGGGTTACTTGGATAGGATCTAATAGAAATTTGGTATCATTATTCTGCCCAAGGAGCTGAAAATTAAAGTAAAGCACTGATCATTCCAAATGGCTCTTAGGTATTGTAAAACAGTTCTTGATGTCATCCTAAGTGGTCAAATTGGACTCTTATTCCATTCCCAAAGTCATTCATTACACGTAGTATTTGTATTAACATAATGATTACACAAAAAATTTATTCACAATGGGAACAAAAGGGAATTTGCTTCAAAATCAAGTCCAAGTAATAATGGAGAAATAGTAACTGAGATAAACAACATTGTAGAAGAAAATTAACCCAACACTGCAAAATTAATCCATTTACAAATCCAACACTATCAAAACCCTAAGGTCACACAAACATTGCAATTGGAAGTCACACTTCACAAATTCATGATGAACCAACTGCCATTTAACCGATTTCTTCCACAGACATGACTATATTCAACTGAAATTCATACCCAAAACATAAAAAGTGAATAGATGACTTCATACATACCGTTCCGCCATTTCAGACAGTCTGGTTCGCGAAGAAGTTCGAAACTCTGAGGTCTACGTCTTCCAACAATGGGGTCTTCTCCTTTCGGTGTTGACAAAAAGCTGGGTTCAGAAGTCGGGATGGAGAAAGCCGAACTCGCGAAGTCTGCTCAGTGGGAATGGAGGAAGAAGCCAGGCGTGTTAAGTCTGTCAAATGGGGATGAGGATGAACGGCGAAGGTGTGCGGCACTGGGGGTGAGGACGAAGGAGCGGGAAGGGATGCGGGAAAGATGGGTCGATTTTGGAATGGAGAGGAGATTTGTTGTTTTTAGCTTTTACAGAGGTCTGGCTTTGTGGGGTAAAAAAAAGAAGACCCTTATATATGGTGTACCCCAGGGTGTAATCCAGGGTGTACACCAAGACTTTTTGAAATTGGCAAATTACCAGAGCGGAGGGACCACTATTTATTCACTAATCCATCTGCCAATTTGACAGAGCACGATCAGATAGCTTTATACGTAGTAGACGCGAATTTAATGGAAACAGAGTTAAGACGCCGCACTTCACTTCTTCTTCTGCTTCATCTGGCAATAGCTGCCTTTCCACTTTCGTCTCAACATCAAGCAGGTAACAACGATAATGAGTTGAAAACTGCCACTTTCCGGTCACCGGCGTTTGAGCTAGAGCCCGGATCAGTCGAAAACAAATTCTATTACGATGTCGGCTTCCCCAAAGGTCATATTGCAGTGAAAGGATTCCACGCAGAAGTGGTTGATGAAGCCGGAAACTCCATCCCTCTTCACGAAACCTATCTCCACCATTGGGTTGTGGAGAGGTACTACCGCCTCAGAGGCGGCGCCGATGATTCTCGACCCGGCGCCATTCTCGTCCGCAACTCGGGCATCTGCCCCGGCCTTTCCCAGTATTTCGGGCTGGGATCCGAAACAAGGAAAACGGATACCCGCGTTCCGGACCCGTACGGAATCGAAGTCGGGAAGGCGGAAGAGGTTCCGGAGGGGTACGAGGAGGCGTGGCTGCTTAACGTGCACGCGATTGATACCCGGGGGGCGGTGGATCGGCTGGGGTGCACCGAGTGCAGGTGTGCGCTGTACAATGTGAGCGTGGACGAGTACGGGAAGGCTCTGGAAAAGGACTATGTCGGAGGGCTGAGATGCTGCTATGACGGGACGAGATGTCGGGTGAATGCTGCTCAGGGCACAGGAGGAAGAAGACGCCTCTATCTCCAGTACACTGTCACCTACCTTCACTGGGATTCCTCCTTTCTGCCCGTCAAAATTTATATTTTTGATGTCACCGATTCATGGAAGAATACGACTCCAGCCTCCAATGGCCACCACTGCAAGGTTTCTCTTTTTCTTTATATGATTTCTACTCCCATCCCTATCTTGATTTAGGGAGTGTTTGGATCTGATTTTAAAACTGTTTTTGCTTCTGATTTTAGAGAGTTGAGTGTTTGGGTGAAAGTGCAAAAAGTGTTTTTGGTGTCTAATTTACTCCTTGATTTAGTTTTTTTAGAAATTGGGGTAGACCAGTTTCTGAAAACTGATTCTGATTCTACTTCTACTTTAAAAAAGAAGCAGAATCAGAATCCGTTCCAAACACCCTTACTCTGTGTCATTCACCTTTTACTGATCGATCCAGTAGTGTTCAATTATGTAACAAAAAGAAAAGTCAACTGATAAAATGGTGAGAAAGTTGGAAAAATGACTAAGGATCGAAACTTTGGTACGCATCGAAACTTTGGTACGCGCGAGTATAAGGATTGATTGAGTCTTCAGGATTTACGCCTCCCACCTGTTCGGTCGGTGGGAAAGTTGGAGAAATGACGAAGGATCGAAACTTTGGTACGCGCGAGTATAAGGATTGATTGAGTCTTCAGGATTTACGCCTCCCACCTGTTCGGTCGGTGGGAAAGTTGGAGAAATGACGAAGGATCGAAACTTTGGTATGCCCGAGTATAAGGATTGATTGAGTCCTCGGTATTTACGCCTCCCACCTGCTCGGTTGGGTCGAGGTGTGGGGCCTTGGGTTGGGAGTTAACCTTTTGGAGAAATGTAACAAAAAAGCTAACCCAGATTGTTTTAGTGCCTTGATTTGACCTGTAATCTAGACAACCTTCTTTTCCTTTAACCCCATTCAGGGTCCGTTTGGATCATGGAAAAAATTAGGGAAGGAAAATGTGGGGAAAAAATCGAAGATAAGCTAATAAACTCATTTTTGTAGGTACTCATTTCTTATCTACTTATTTGTGGGTTTTCTATCATAAAGATTAAATAAATATGTACTATATCACAAATTAAACAAATATTCATATTTCATTTTCCTTTGCAGTCTCCTAAGGTAAAACCAACACGGAGACATAACTTCCCTTGGCACTTCCTTTCCTATTTCCACACCCTTTCCAACATACTCTTACTGATGGATTCCCTGTTGATCTACAATGATACAGATTGAGTATAATGTTGACTCTTGTTCTGCTGCTGTGGCCAATGATGAACTTTGCGTTCATACCCAAAGTGCAAGATCAAGTTTGCCCAATGGAGGAGATGTCATTTATGGTGTAGCCCACCAGCACACAGGGGGGGTTGGCTCAACTCTATACGGGGAGGTATTTGCATGTTACTTAATTCTTGTACCCCCATGAAACATCATTATTACCTTTAAGTCCATAAAGTTACAACCCATTCTTGTGGGGATAAAATAGCGCGATTTCACAGGGTGAGTATGTCCTCCATAGTTGCCTTCCAGCATTCCTTCACAAACACTGTGCCAATTGGGATGAAGGCTGTCTTGCTTTTTACCCTTGTTTGATATAAATTGTCGCTAGCTAATAACCTATTGTATTAGCTGTTTTTCTATCATCTCATCATTGCATCATCAAGAAGCTATTTTGTATGGTAGGAGTGATCTTTAAGAAGATAATTTAGCCTTCGTATGAGAAAACGATATGAGGTCTACCAGAAAAGTTTGGGATAGAGCTTTTCGCAAGACAGCTTCTTTGACCCAACAAGTTCTTCCAGTAGCTTGTCTATCAAACAACATTAAGTAGCTGTGTCACCTGCGCTGGTCAAACCCCTAAAAGTGCCCAAGAAGCTATAAGCTCTCCAAAAAGTTATTTGCCGAGCTTGCCCTAACTTCGGCAGTGTGTATACGATTGATCAGGTTTCTGTTCATTAAAGCAAGTGTATCTTCAATTATTATAGGATGGACGGACAATATGTTCATCGGTTCCGATTTATGGAAATGGCACGGAACCGGGGAATGAATCTGGTTTCATTGTTGGAATGACAACATGTTATCCTCAGCCCGGCTCGGTAAAGATTGCGAAGGGAGAAAAGCTGACCATTGTATCTAACTATAACAGTAGCCAGAGCCACACCGGCGTCATGGGCCTTTTCTACATTTTGGTTGCTGAACCTTTGCAGGTACCAATATATCAGCTCAATATATCAAAACTTGAACTCAATATACGAGTATCAATTTTAGACATTTATTCGAAATCATCTTATTTTCTGTTATATTAAGACTAACGAATCTAGGTATATTTAATAAATTGAAAAGCTTTAATCAGATTTTGATTTTCCCACATATTTTAAAGTAAAAGGTCTAGGGAAAGAATATAGAGGATACAATTAGGAGAAAAGAATACTTGGAAGTGAGTGGATATTAAAATATCATACTTTCAAAATTTTATTTCATGTATTTGTTTCAACTTAATTTATTTGTTTTTGTCTGTTTTTTATGAAAAAATCTGAAAAGGTTTTCCTATGTAACACCCTTGTGGCGTGACAGTCCATCGCTCAGCGGGCTGCTCCTCTATTCTACAAAAACTAAGATATCTAAATATACATTAGACATATTTCATAAAGTATACTATACTACGTATGTTTTCACCTAAACTTCCCAAAGGTAAAATAAGAAAATGTTTTTCGCTGAAATTTTTCATCAGTATTCCATTATTTTCCATGTCCCATACCTGGCCTGACCTTTTTTTCTTCTTCAAAAAATGGATTAATTCTGCAGACAGATGATGCAGTGAACCCAATGTACGGTATTTGGGGTTTGTTAGCATTGTGTGGAGTTGCAGGGCTTCTTGTTGCTGCTATACTTGTTAAAAGGAGTAGGGGCAGAGAAGATGGCTATGAATCTCTGGTTGCTTGAAGTTGCATTAATTACATTGCCATATTTGGTTGTAACATAATTATAATGGAATACTTTTTGCCTTTAATCAACCCTCTGGCTTTAGCTAGTACTGTCGTATTAAATCAAGTATTATATGATCGGATTCTTCAATCTATTGAAGAAAAACTATGCAATACTACTCGTGTGACAAATAAAGCCTTTATGCCCTCGTTCGGGATAAGACTACTCAAATAAAGCGAGACATGTTACATTAAATGATTTTTATGTGTTTATTTCTCTCATGTCACGCATGTGCCGTGCACATTGTTTGGATGAAATGTTGATAGGTGTTAGTAATAGAAGTGTTAGTTGGTATTGGTAAGATTCTGGAATGGAAGATAAATGTAAGTGTTAAGTACAAATTAATTATGTTTGGAAGAGTAAACAAAATGAAGTGATTGTAAATGAAGCATTTTAATTTTTAACTTAAGCTTACAAAAATATCCTTATTCTTTTTATATACTTCGTACATTACTCAAAATTTACACTATAAAGTACATCATCAATTCATCACAGTTACCCAAAAAAATTGAAAGGCATGGTCAAGGAACTTGTATTCTTGCCCAATTGAATCAAAAGTGACCTGCTGAGCATGTTTTTACTTACACTAATTTCAGTCTCAAATCCAAATTAGATCATATTAGACTAGAACAGACCAAACTTGGACATAAAATTACATAGACTAGACATTTACCAAACCAGATCAGACCAGGTCAAACCAGATCAAACCAGAAAATTTCTGTCCAAGTAAAAACATCACGAGTCACTTCCTACTTGAAAAGTTCACAAGTATAATTCCAACTAGCTAACTGTTTTACAAAAATAAACCGAGTAATGGTGTTAAGTTTTCCGCTACCTTTTTATTTTATATATATTGAAGCGGATATACAAACTCCTTCCATATTTAAAAGTTTCCTACACTTTCATTTTTGGGATAAGTTCCCTACACTTTCACTTTTTGCCTTTTTTTTGGTAAAATTTTTCTTTAAAAGTACTCAATTACCCCTACTTTTTCTACTTTTTATCATCTCTTTCCTACTTTTTCACCTTCTCTCCTACTTTTTCCATTATATTCATTACCCTTATTATTCTACCTTAAATCTTGTACCATAACCAAACGTAGTGATCTTTGAAGTACAGAGGGAGTATAAACATTGACAATATTATATTTGAGTTTAATCTTGTTTCTACTAAAAATTTAATATAATACGCAATTTTTTTCACAAAATTATACTTGAGTTTAACACTATATAATAGAGATTCCAAAGTAGTTTTAGTAATGCTACATAAATATTAATACAAATTATGTAGAATATTTAATACAAATATTTTTATTATATTTTATGAAAAATATTAAATATAAAATAAAATTTACCGTAGAAAATATTTAAACTCAAATATAATATTATTAATTTTTATATATTTTTTTTTGCGTTAATATATTCAAAAATTTTAAAAAATAATGGAAAAGTTAACACCATTAGTACCTGAAATATATTTGTGAAATAGTTAACTAGTAGGGATTATTTTTGTAAAATTTATCAGAAGAGATTATTTTTGTAATGCACGTCAGAGTAGGGATTGTTAGTATCAATTTCACCTATATACACATCCATATATATAATATATTCATTCCGAAATAGCTTCAAAAAGAAAAGGGCCAGTGTATTTTTTTTAATGGTGGGAAGGGTAGTAATTACCCAACATTTCAATACACTCCAAATTGAAGTGTTAAAAAAATAGACAATTGAAGCATTGGGAATTGAGGTGTTGGACAGTTGGAGAGGTAATTACTAACCCTTTGACCCTTTCTAACAATTGTTACTAGCAATTTTCAATTTTTTTTCAAACCAAGTGTAAAAAGTGTTTATGTCCACGCTTCCTCAACACTTCCGTTACTATTAAAATGTTATACGGAGTACTCCGTATTATTCCTTAGTCTGTACTACACTATGGACTATGGAGTACGGGAGCCTGGGCTGGCCCAAAGCAGGGACACCCAGTCAACCCGCGCAGGGCTCAATTTTTCTGAAAGGCCCAAAAAAGCCATCGACGGGTCCAACTCCAAGGTAGAATAACAAAGCCAGAACGGGAGTGAACATCTAGCGACACTGCGAGTTTGCGACCGAGCTATCAAGGAATCCAAACCACGCCGCCATCTGCCACCGTGCCCCGCCTCCAAGTCCATCCGACGTCCCTCACGTCCTTCCAGTCCATCCACTCTCCAGGGAGTCCGGGGTCGTCCAGCCCTTCGGTTAGCAAGTAGCAATGTTCTGTTTTTTCTCTTTTTTAATTGCTACTTTTGCTAATTGCTACTTGGGTTGTTGACTTGTTGTTATTTACTACGTATTTATTGAAGTTATTATTTTATTAAGTCTGTTGTTTCTTCATTACTTGTTATGTAACTTCAGGTATAATTAAATATAGTTTCACTTAATTACCCAAAGCTTAAACTGAATTTTAATTTGAAATTTGTTATTATAATTGACTAATTTTATTTAACAATTAAGAAATTTTCAAATTGATATAAGTATGTACTATGTTATTTGATAACTTTAGGTTTATAATTATAGTCTTTCATGGTTTCACCCAAAGCCTAAACTGAATTTAATTTAAAACTTGTAAACATGTACTGTACATGATTAGGAGTGATTTTCAATAATTGATAGTAATTATACTTCTAAAGAATACACATCCGGACACGACAAGCTTACAAAGAAAAGAAGAATTGAAAAGTTAACCTTGTCTCAGAAAGAGCTCTTAATAAATTCATTATTAAAGAAGCTATTGAAGCTCAAGAGAGTGTACAACATGATGTAGATGTTGAAATACCATGTCATTGTGATAATGATGTGACTTCAAAATCAGTTGATAATGACAAGGCTGAGAATGCTGATAATGAGGACATCAGAATTGGTATTCTAATTGATAGGAAAAATAATTATGCTTTGTTTGATATGTATGATCCGAGAAATTGGGATGCTCTTGATTCAAAGTTGATAGACATTTTTTGTGGAAAATGGTGCTAAAAGAAATTTAACTTTTGTCAAAGGACCTAAAGATAAAGACTCTAGAAGATTCTTAACGATTTTTTACACCAGAAATTTGCCTAATGGAGAGAAATATGATAGAGTTTGAAACACTCCAAATATTAATATTGAAAGTTTGGTAGATGATTTTGCATCTAAATTCGCTCGAAGGATGTCTATTTTTAAATGAAATGTATTTTGTTAATGAATACTTTTATTTTTATTATTATTTTCATTAGTAACTTGTATTTTAACACAAATTACTTGTGTTGGAACTTGGAAAGGCAGTACTCGACATATAAATAGATTATCATACTCCGTATCATTCTTTCTTCCAAATTCACATTATTAAAACCTAAATTTCCTGGTCAGGAACCCCAGCAAGCAAACCTTAAGCATTCACAATGGCTGGAGGGAAGATACGCAAACAAAACCACCATGGCTCCACTGGCGGTGCAAACCCCCACTTCCAAGGCGGTATACCATTTCACAAGTCAAAAGGCCAACACATACTAAAAAATCCACTTCTGGTTGACACAATCGTCGAGAAGTCTGGCATCAAACCAACTGACGTCATCCTTGAAATTGGTCCGGGTACTGGTAATCTGACTAAAAAGCTTCTAGATGCAGGAAAATCTGTCATTGCTATCGAACTTGATCCTCGCATGGTTCTTGAGTTGCAAAGGAGATTTCAAGGAACCGCATCTAACAAGCTAAAGGTAATTCTTTATCAATTCTGGAAACCGTTTTTATTCAGTTCGAAACTCAACTTCAATTACCGTGAATTTTCAGCTGTAGCATCAACTGATTCTATTGATAAAATGGTTTGAGGCAATAATTATGAATTTTAATAAGCGGGAAGAAATTAGTTCAGTTTAGAAAGAAAAAAATAAATAGAGTAGGGTAATATATCTTCTGGTCGTATCTGTGGGGAAATAGGGATGTTTTTGTTCTATAGGGTGCTGCCCAGTTACTAGTGTGCACCTCAGTATTAGGCTTAGATAAGGTGTTGGAGTTCAACTCTTCTCTTCTTTATTATATATATGTAGAATAAGTATGAAATTTTGATGCCTTTGCTAGGAGAGTAAGACACAGGTCTACTAATATGTATGTGTGCTAAAGTATACTTGGATGTGGGAACACTAATGATAAATATAATTTAAGAAGGCTCATTTTGAGGCGCTCATCATACTGAACTACTGAAGCATTTTAAATAAATAGTGAGGCTTATGCGCGAAACACGCTTCCTCCTTGGCATTTTTTAAGCAGGATTTTTTTACTATTAGTAACATAATAAGGCCTAGGGAGTATACACTTTTCAAAATCCATAAAGTAAACTCCATTTGCCAAATATTCTACTGTTCTCTTCTATCAAGCAACTCCACTGTTTTCTCTTTTCTTTTTATTTGAACAATACAACAGAAGTAAAATAATTTCTTTATATATATATATATATTCAAATTGCTCCAAAATTTCAAAATATCTAGGATCAGCTATTCTTCTACACTTTTCTCATTTCAAGATTTTTTTTTCTGATTTTATTACATATGATAGATCTAAAAGCTTTCCTTTAAAGATCTAAATTTGTTATGGTGGTCTAAAACACATTTATGAATTATTTTTATGTATGATTGATGATATATTTTAGATTACTAGTAATTTTTATCTAAAACACATAAAGTTCTGCATAAATTGCTTCGAGGCTTACATCTCACCTTTCAGATGCAAAACACCTTAATGCTTGAAAGCACTCATTTAAACATGTAGTGATACCCAGTCATACCGCTATGAACTCAGTCAACTTGTGTAGGTGGTCTCAGAAAGTCTTGTGCATTTTCCAATGAAACTTAATGCCTATGGGTATCCTTGAATAATGAAATATATTAGGGAAATGGAAAAATGTCAAAGACAACTATTTTTATTGTGTTTTGTTATCAATAAGAAAACAAATGAAAATGAAATGGGATTACTGTGTTTGTTGTTTGTATATTTGTAGTTTTCTTAGTTTTTGTATAATTGAAATAAAAAAATTCTCCGTAAGCTAAATGAGTTAGAACATAGTCAACTATAAATGTAGAGTTTAAGTTTTTCTTTTTCCTCTCCCAAAATATATTTCCTTCCAGTTTTTCTCTCCATTCCTTCCATCTTTCTTTCTCTAAAAAGAGGAATTAACTCATTTCAAACATGATGAACCTTGGATGTTTTATTCATTTCGCTTCCATATCGATGACAATGATTTTTTTGTGTGTGGCGAAACACTAAAGTGCTCCACTTTCTTTTATGTGATGCTTGTTTTACTGAGTAAACACTGAAAACTATTTCTACTCAATGAGACATAATGCCTAAGCCTTTGTTTGATAAAAGGCGATGAGGGAAGGGGAAGACAGGAAATTTAAAAAATGCTTTAGAGAAAATGTTTATGTTATATGACCCAAAATGCCTCTTGCTGCCTCGCGCCTTTTAAAAATAAGTTTATCAAAATGGATGTGGGAATAGGGATAATTATTTTCAAAATTCTTGTGAATGATTTTATTGGATATAATTTTGTTTAATTAACATTTAACAATAATAATAATATTGAAAGACCAAAAATAATAACTTCTTCAAAATAGCTGAAATCAGGACCTTTGGGGGATGATATATGAGGAGCTTGGAGGAATAATCTATAGCTCTTACTCGTTTCTCCTTTCCCCATGTTTCCTCCAACCAAATACACAACACTTATCCACTCACCCCCTCCAAATCTCTCAACCAAACAAGGGCTAAATAAATAATCTTACACGAGATGAGCTTTGGTCATTTTATTCATTGCACTTGCACATCCTTAGAAATGAATTTATGTTTGTGTGTTTAAGCACTAGACACTAATATGCTTTGCCTTATTTTGCTTGAAGCTACATCCTCATTTTATTTATCAGTTGAATCTTGACCATCACCATGAGATAATTATTCAGATCTGCATACCAATTCTTAATAATATGATACCCTACTTATTTTTGGGAGTTAGTATTTGCAATTTGATTCTTTTCCTTGCACTGTATTGGTCCCCGAATTCTTTTGGGATTAAGGCTTGGATGTTGTTGTTGACTGTATTGGTCCATTGTCAGGTTATACAAGGGGATGTTCTGAAGTGTGATCTTCCATACTTTGACATATGTGTGGCCAATATCCCCTACCAAATCTCATCCCCTCTTACTTTCAAATTACTATCTCATAGGCCACTATTTAGGGCTGCTGTGATTATGTTTCAAAGGGAATTCGCTATGCGGCTTGTTGCTCAGCCTGGTGATACTCTCTATTGCCGCCTTTCTGTCAACACTCAGCTATTGGCTCGAGTGTCCCATCTACTAAAAGTAGGAAGAAACAACTTCAGACCTCCACCAAAGGTTGACTCTTCTGTAGTAAGAATCGAGCCGAAGAAACCTTCTCAACACATAAATTTCAAGGAATGGGATGGTTTGGTTAGAATCTGCTTCATTAGGAAGAATAAAACTCTAGGTGCAATTTTTAAGCAAAAGTCTGTGCTTACTTTGCTGGAAAAGAACTATAAGACTCTACAAGCACTGAAGATACAACCTGAGAATGATTTGCCATTAGATGATGCACACATATCATTGGCAGTATCAGCCTTGGGAGATACACTTGGTGACTTGGACATGGATGATGATGGGGATGACGATGATGAGAATGAGATGGATATGGATGATGGGGATGGTAAAGAATCATCAGTTTTTAAGCAGAAAGTTATGTCAGTGTTGAAACAAGGTGGTTTTGAAGATAAGAGGTCTTCCAAACTGTCTCAAGAAGATTTCATCCACCTACTTTCTTTGTTTAGCCAGGCTGGCATTCACTTCTCTTAGGATAGTTCTATGCCGTTTATAACAAAGAACTAATACTATATATTTACATCTAAAGTTGAGTATCCATGATCAAAGTCCAGTTTTGGTTCCTTTGTCCTAGTTAATAGTGAGATTAAATTTATACGCTCATGCTTATTCTTGTGTGTAACAATTTCATACAGAAGTGTTCGTTGATTGGTAAAACTGTAATGCTGTATTGTGGTGAACTTGTGTTTTAAGGGTTACACTGAAAAATTTAATCTGTTTTAGCTTGAAGAAGGGATTGCTTAATGAAACAGATGCATTTTTGAGATCTTGGTCTTTCTCGAATCTAATGTAGTCAAGTTCTGGTGACCGTCTGGAATGCAACTCTTCGTCTGAATTCAAGTTCTGGTCACTCTCTTGATGAAGTGAACAAAAACTATCCACATTTCTCTTTTGTTTACTACGCATATTTTTGAGAATATAGTCAAAAGTTACATTTAACAAAAATCATAGTTATCACAAGAGTAAAACAGAAAATTTTAAATTGTTCGGTACTCAAATTTGAGACGTTACCTATTTGTTGATGGAACCAGTTACATTGTAAATTGTAATTCTAAAAGTAGCCGAAAAATATATGGACACTAAGGGAGATGTATTGTATTAGGAGTTAGTGCCAAAATTTTAAAAGGGAGATTGTGAAAGTTTATGTTCAATATAGACTTTTAAAAATCTAAACAAATCTAAATCTAGGTGTATTCAATATATACATTTAAAAGACCAAAAAAATCCAAGCATATTGGAAATTTTGTTATTCTTTTGGACTTTTAATTCATGGAATTTTTATGGACTTTTAACTCATTCTTACTAAATTGATTCTTTACGATTGCCTCTTTTGCTCATCAAAGATTTTCGTGGACATTTTTTTTTGTATTCAACTCGTCACATGTATGCATAGAATCGTTCCCATATTCATACTAGAGTTGTCTAATTATTTACCCAAGAACGTAAACCGGCCAATCGACCCTGGAGTAGTACCGGATCGGGAGGTGGGTACCAGGACGGTCACGATATGCAAAATTTGAATGTTATTAAAATTCTTATTTATGATTTTTCGATAAATAAAATTGAACAAGGAGATTCTACATCAATACTGGTGAACAAAATAAACTTCAAAAAAATATGAAGTGATTTTTTATATATTACCTAATGAAGAAAAATGTAGGGGTGACTGGTAAGGTCGGTTTGGTCCTCCAAAAGAAAATTAGGAATCATTTGAAGAATAGTTAATCCAATATCGATTCAGTTCTAGAATATTTTTGAAGAACCAATATAAGAATCTATAGTATCATATCGGTCTAATTCTTTATGTTGTTAGTTAAAGACCATTGACAAAAAGAAAATAGACAAATTGACCAATTTTTCTGGGACAGAGGGAGTAACATAATACTCTTAACCAAAATAATTTCTTAAAAATTCATGCAAGATTTATGTCATTTCTGTGAGACGGACAGATTCTGTCTCACAAAGAAAGAGAAACGAAGAACAATCTATTCACTCTCCCTCTAGACTGCTCCTCCGATATTAACTGGGACCAACAAGTGGTATTAGAGCCTCATTGTTCTTTAAATCTTTTAGGTTACCTTTTGAACAAAGATCCACTTGTTTGTTGCTTTTGATGTTATTTTACTATATCATAGATAATACAAAAATTATCATGGATAATACACTTTCCAAGAACTTGATGTTCTTAGTACAAAAGTTTGACGACCGGAAAATAGGAATACCAGCATAGTTGTCTACCCTACATGAAGAAATGTGGGATGTGCTAACCACATGACCAGCTAAAGTCATGCATGAAGATAAATCAGAGAAAATTGCCAAAATACGGGATTTTATGGTCTGACACAATACGGGAGTTGCAATTAGGTTACCAAAATGCAGGAGTCGGAATTGGGTGTTCCGACTAGAGGCTAGGCTCACATTTTTCCTTGGAATATCTCCAATCGGAATTGGCAAATCCGACAGGGGTGGAGCACCATTTTTTTTAATAGAAATTATCTATCGGAGCCCATCATCAATGAATTAAAATCCAAAAAACACATGCACCAACTAGATTCCATTTTACTCCATTAAAATGAAGTTGGTATTTGATTTCATAAATTTAATTCACAATACGGATGGATTAAAAATAAAATAATGTAATCAATGTTTTGTTATTAAAAAAATATGCATATTTTTCATTTTAAAAAATATCACGGTATTAGTTTTACAAGTTTAAAAAACTGACCTTATTTAAAAAAAAATAAGAATTAACAATTCCCACAGGAAATTAAAAAAACAAAAGAAACACTCTTCTCGGAATTGGCATATCCGACTGTAGAGGCACCTACTTTTTTTGAAAAAGAAAACTTGATTCGGAATTAACAATTAGGAAGTTTAACAAAAACTCTAGTCGGAAAAGCCAATTCCGATTCCCGCTTTTTTGGGAAACCCTACTTTTTTCCCGTATTTTGGCAATGCATGTTGAGGATTCTTGTATTTTGGTAAATCACCCGATAAATCATGCATACACAGGTGGAGGAGCTGAGCCACCGACAGTCACTGAACTAGGCCGGCTGGGTAGTGCTGGACCCGAACCCGCCCCGTGACATAACTAAGTGGACTCGCCCCACCCGTGACCCGCACGGGTCGTTAGGTGTTGGCCCATGACCCACCCCATGGGTCCTCCCCGCCCGCCTCGCAATAACCTAATAGCTAGTAAACATTTCTAGTTTTATGAAGTTATTATAACTTGAATGGTACATAAAGTTCGTCTTCAAATAGTTATAAAAAAACAAATATATGAAATCATAGTCACAATAGAATAAAAAGTTTCAAAAATTAAGAAAACATAATATAGACTTTAATAGTTAACTATTTATTTATGAATAAATGAATATATAAATGCTAAATACAAAAAACACATTAATCAAGAATTAATTTTTCATCTAGCTGAAAAAGTAAATATTTAAATATTAAAAGATTGAGAAATTCATAAGTTATTACTCACACATGTATATAGATATACATACATACATACATATATGTGTGTGTGTTTGTAATATAATTTAAAAAAAGATAAGTATTTAAATATTGAGCGGGTCTGGTCAGGGCAGATATTTATGCACGTACCTGCCCCATTGTATGCACGGGGCGGGGCGGACCCGCCAAATTTGCGAGGCGGACGCACCCCATTTGCCCGGCGGGTCGGGTCTGACCCGCTTCATTTGTAAGGCGGGCCAAACCTGCCCCAAATGTGTAAGGGCGTGGCGGGTCTCTACAGGCATGTTTTTTTTGACATGCCTACATTAAACCCATATTTGAATGGACTCCTGAAGAAAGGAAGAAATATATATACAACTTTGACATCATCGCCAAAGACATCTTACACAAGGCCATAGATGATTGTTACTTCACAAGGATAAAGAAGTGTGCAATGGCTAAAGAGGTGTGAGATACACTAATCCTTATTTGTACAGGTGATGAACAAGACAAAGATAACAAGCAAACTATAACTATGAAGAAGTTTGAAGACTTTAAACTTCCACCAGAAGAGTGCATTGTAGAAATGCAAACTAGATTGCTCAAACTCACAAATGAGATTACAGAGTTGGGGAAAGAGTTGAACCAATAAAATCAACATGAAAATTCTAAAGGTCTATCACTTCAATGGAAGATGAATGTCATAGTCATGAGGGACAATAGAGACCTCAGAACATATAAGACAGAAAATCTCTATTCTGATCTAACACTCCGTTTGAAGTGGATGGCACATCAACGCTCATTTGAAGTGGGTAGCACAAGCTATTCCTCAAGATAATAACCTAAAGACCAATGTTCAGAGCATACTACCCCCATTAATCATTATTTCATGCATCATATAGGCTACAACACACTCATTTCAAGCCAAATCATGCATCATATAGGCCAATGACAATGGTAATCAACACCATGAGGCATATAAGAGGCCACATCACACTGATGAGAATCAAACCATGCATCATATAGGTCAACCACTATGGTAATCAACAAAATCAAGCATCTAAGAGGATACATTACACTGATTTGAACCAAATTATACATCATATAGGTCAATCCCCATGGTAATCAACACAATCATGCATTTAAGAAGCTAAATCAAACTGATTTGAATCAAAACATGCATCATGTAGGTGAATCGCTATGGTAATCAACACAATCAGACATCTAAGAGGCTAAATCACATCGATTTAATTAAATCATGCATCATATAGGTCAATCACCATGGTAATCAACCGAATCAAACATCTAAGGTGCTACATCACACTGATTTGAATCAAATCGTGCATCATATAGGTCCATTATATACCATGGTAATCAACACAATTAGACATAAAAGAGGCTACATCACACTGATTTGAAACACATCATGCATCATATAGGTGAATCACAGTGGTAATCAGCAAAATCAGTTCCTGCAGGGGCTACATCACACTGATTTGAAACATGTCAAACAAAAAGCTATGTAAATGAATTGACGATTAGGTAATCACACATAAATGGTTAAACAAAACAATAGAAATTGTATTCATCACATGCATCAGTTCAACCATAGTTTTTAACAAAAAATACACATTAGGCAACCAGATAACATAACAACGTAACTTAGGTATAAAAAAAGCGACTAGGTTACAGGCGTCCCTAAGAAAACGGCATCCAAGGACGACGAGGATTGTGACTGAAGACATGGTCGTAGGGATTTGGATACCATGACGCCTGTGAGTTCACCTCTTCCCCTTCTTCGTCTGAAAATCCCTTGTACGTGTCCTCTGCACAATCTGATCCCCATTTCTGCCGTATAGGCCACCGAGAATCAGTTTCCAAAGGACTCCACCCTCTGCATGTGTCAGATTCGGTTTGTAGCATTAGTGTTCAATTCAGTATTAGGCGACTCATTAGATTCAAGATCTGGTGGTAGCACATCCGCAAAACCCATGGACCACATCGAAGAACCACAAATACACATAAAAGTTACAAGAAGAGAAAGAGACAGACTTTGATGAAGGAAGGGAGAGATAGAGACTCATACGAAAGGATATGGACAATTAAATATAGGGAGATTTCCCAAAATAGGAGTAAATAGGGTTTGGAAGTCCAAAATACGACTACTATGTTTTTCTTCCCGAAATAGGACTAACATGACAGTATTTACTGTCATCTTGAAGGCATGATTGTCAAATAGTTGCAGTACTGTGTATTTAACATGGCAGTAGTTATTATAATTAATGACAATATTTTTCAATCATGACAGTATT